GACAGAGAGAGAGAGCTGGGGAGGGGCAGAGAGAGAGGGAGACAGAGAATCCCACAGGTTCAAAGCCCAGAAAGGAATTCAGGTCCTTCCTATGATGTGGAACAGGCTACCGAACCCCCCTGGTGGGGCTCAAGGGGACCCAGAAGTCCTTCAGATGACTGAGCTTCTGGTCTTAGCTTCCTCTGGATATAAGCACCGCCTTCCCAGAGCTTCCCACCCAAGAAACATATTTCTTGCCACCAGCGTGATTATCACAAGTTGTCCACCTTCTACCACCTTCATTTGGCCTCCCACAGACCTTGGAAAGCAGCTGTGGTGATCACCTCCATTCTGTAGGTGAAGAAACCGAGACTCAGAGAGCTTGGGTGGCTGTTCCAGGATCACACAGCCCTGAATCCACCCAGAAGGGGCCAGATCCTACCTAAGTCTTCTCTCTTCAAAGCCCTCACTTTCGGCAGCACATGGTCCACTTGGTGAATGGCTCGCCTACTTTTTTTTTTTTTTTTAATGTTTTTTATTTTTGAGAGAGAAAGAGACAGCACGAGTGGGGGAGGGGCAGAGAGAGAGAGAGAGAGAGAGAGAGAGAGAGAGGGGGAGACACAGAATCTGAAACAGTCTCTAGGCTCTAAGCCGTCAGCACAGAGCACGATGTGGGGCACAATGCGGGGCTCGAACTCACAAGCCATGAGATCATGACCTGAGTCAGATGCTTAACTGCCTGAGCTACCCAGGTTCCCCTCGCCTAGTTTTAAAGGATCAGGCCTATGAAGATACATTGAAAAGTCAAAATATTCAGGGTACCTGACTGGCTTAGTTGGTGGAGAATGTGATTCTTGATCTCGGGGACATGAATTTGAGCCCCACATTGGGCAGGGAGATTACTTTAAAACAACTTTTTTTAACTTAAAAAAAAGAAAAGAAAAAGAAAGCCAAGATTTTCTAAAGACTAATAGCTCTGGGTCTCTGTAACATTCATGTAGGTGATTAAATTTCAAAGTCTGACAACACAAAGTTCAGGGCTAACAGTTCTTAAACCATTTTTTAAATATTTAATTAATTATGTATGTATGTATGTATGTATTGAGAGAGAGAGAGAGACAGAGAGAGAGAGAATCCCAAGCAGGTTCCCTGCAGCCAGAACAGAGCCTCATGTGGGGCTCGAACCCACGAACCGGGAGATCATGACCTGAGCGGAAACCATGAGTCGGACGACTAACCAACTGAGCCACCCAGGCACCCCTCAGAAATTCTTAAATAGACTTAAAAGAAAGAGTGCTGGCTTAGAGTGTGGAGACAGGACGTGGGTCTGCCTTTGCTTCTAACTTGCTGTGTGACTTTAGACTTCAGTTGCCTTAGCTGCTGAGTGACAGAAATAGATGAGATCAAAGGCTCGCCAGAGAGCCCTGTGTGGTGCCTGGGTCATCACCTTGGAAACTGTATCGGGGGCAAAGGGATGGCACCCGGGGCCCTGTTTCTCTTCACGCAGAGTCGCTCCACTTGTATCCACTTTCTACCCCGGGCCCCCTTGCCAGATGCTGCCTTAGCCCAGGTTCCCTAGAAGCAGAGCTCGAGGCAGGATATGTGTGTGTGCCGCCACTGGGAGAGGGATGCAGCCAGGGAAGCTGCAGTGAGGAAAAGGGGGCGAGACAGACGAGGACGGAGAGCTTTGCCGAGCTGGCCGCCATGAGCATCAACTATGCTAGATCCGGTGGGACCTTCTCTAAAGAGGCTCTGTGAAGCTTAGGACAGTTCATCCAGAAAGAGGAAGCAAAGATTTCTCTGCCAAACCCTGTTTCTTGTCGGTCAAAGTTTCACTCCGTGGAGTGTCTGACACCCCTGAACTTCTGAAAGCAGAAGTTCGGAGGGGGTGTGGGTGCAGTTGGCTTGTGCTGGAATGAAACAGGTGGCAAGCACCTGGAAGACAGGTGTGGCTGAGGGGACCTTAGGTGACACACCAGAAAGTAACTGATATGGCAGTAATTGAAAAAGAGTGAGAACATCTGCTACATAAAAGTTGAAGCCACTGGGCTGGACAATCCCAAAGGACCTTCCCAGCTAAAAAGTTCATTGGGACATGTTTCAGTGGAATGGCAGCTCAAAGGGCTGAGACCATCCACCCTTCTTGGGTGAAGGAACCATGTCCCCAGAGAGTTGCAAGCAAGATCCTTGGAAACGTGTGCCACTCAGTGCCCAAGTGTTGATGCCAACTTTGCTCTGCCCCTCGGCCCCCAAATGTCCATGCAATTTGAGAGCACATGAAGATGATGTTCTTAGAATCCTGATGGGACAGGAAAGAGAGGGACTGATAATCCCTCCAGGCTGGGGCGGGGGGGGGGGGCGGGTTTCATCATGTTCATTCAGAAAGGCCTGGCCCCCCCCGTCAGCCTGGGATCCCTTCCACTCAGGGGGCAGCTGCCGGCTCCAGACGGGAGATAGATTTGTGGGTATTTAAGGGATTGGAGGATTAAATGGGCCAGAGAAGCTTCCTCCACACAGCCTCATCCTCTAATGGCTGGAAGCCCAACCCTGGGTGTTATTAAACTGATATTACATCACAGGCACTTCATATCCCTTCCTTTGAAGCCAGGCTTGCAAAGCCAGCAGGGAATAAGAGATTGGGGTCAGAGCTGGCACATACATAGATCAATCTGTAGGAGGAAGATCAGACTCACCAAAATTAAATCTGGGATCCAGTCTGAGCATTGTCATTGGCTGACCCTGGGGATGCTACTTCGGCTCAGGACACTGGCTTTCTCTGCTGCGAAACAGGGACACTGCCAACTCTGCTCATGACCTGGTGAGGAGCAAATGAGAGAAGAAAAGCTATAAAGCCAACCTGCCCTTTAGTGGGGCTGCGGTGGGCGCTGGGGTGTGGCCTGTGGGCTGCTGGCGCCCAGGATGGGGCTGATGGAAAGTGACCCCGGGGCAGGCACCAGTCACAGCCAGGATAGGACATGGGCTCTGATCAAAACGAGAAGGAATAAAAACTCGGTAAGTCTCCCAGCAGAAAAGACAGGAAGGAAAATGGAACTGAAACAGGCACAGCTGGGACCCCTCAGGTCACACAGGACACATCAGGTCCAGGGGCAGACTGCAGTAAAGAAGCAACCCACCAGTGCCAGGTTCTAGGCCAATTGCTCCACGTGCACTACTCCACTTAATGATCACACCCCGCGATGCAGTAGATGCAACAGGATTCTCCTTGTTGCAGATGAGTAAACTGAGGCTGGGAGCGGTTGAAGAATTCACCCAAGTGTCACGGCAAGTTAGGAACAGTACCGGGATTGAAACCCAGGCCATCTGCTCGCAGACTGTTCTTGGGATCTGCCCTTTGTTCTTTCTTCTCACAGGGACCCCGTCTCCCCAGGCGGCCTCTTGGGTTCTGACTGTCATCTGTATTCCTCGGACTCGCAAGTCAGTCTGCCATGCTCCCAGATCTGGCCTGAGCTCCAGATCCACAGGACCAACAGCCTTCCCGACCCACCTCAGGCATGCGTCCAAGGAAGAAGTCTCACTTACCCTAAACCTGCTCCAACCCACTTCCCAGAGGGCATCTCCACCATCCACCCAGCTGCAGAACCTGGCCAGAGCCTGGACTCTTCTTTCTTCACCCCTGCCATCCAAGTCACACGCGTGGTACCCTCCATACAACTGAGGTTGTCAAATCTCTCCTTGCCACGGTGGCTCCTACCAGAGCAGGCCCCTCACTAGAACACGGGCACGCCACATACTCCCCGTGGTGGTCTCCAGTCCTGCCTCCTCTCATCCGCCTAACACTGCAATGCAAATATAATGGGCCACTTCCTAGGCTGTCCTTCCCAGGACAAAGGCCCTCTTCATCTGCGCCCTTCCCCAGGCCAGCTCCTCTTGCTCTGCTGCTCTCACTGAATCTCCTTCTGTTCTCCAAACACCAGCTTCTCTCTGGATGCTGAGCCTCCTGGCTGGCGGATGCCTCTGCCTCAGACACTTCCGCACTCACTGTGTTCCCTCCATCCCTGCTCAGACTTCACTGTCAGCTCGGAAGTCCAAAGTCGCCAGATGCCTGGTCTGACCCCACCCTTCCAAGTCGCTGCGGCCACAACACTGAGTACTTTCCCCACCACACCATTTACCAACGCCCCTTCAGCCACCAAATGTAAGCCTTACTAGAGCAAGGTTTGTGCGTTCTGGCCCCACGGCGCCCTGCTCACTGCGGGGAGTTAATAGACGTTTGAGTGGGAGAGAGGGCAAGCGACTTTTCCAAAGCCACAAAGTCTAAGAGAGTGACAAATCCAGAATTGGAATCTGCACCAACTCATCCGACCCCACCCCAAGTTGGAAACAATTAGCTACTCCTCTCCGTATTACCCTCTTATCCCGCCCATTATTTAATTCTTAGCGTCACGGGCCACAGAAGTGACATTTTATAAAGCGACATCTTCCATTTGAAAGATGGGCGCGCATAGCAGTTGGGGAGGACATCCCTCCGTCCCCCGCCGTCCCAGTCCCCAAGGACAAGGGAAATTCCGCCTGGCCTCCTCCCCCGGGGGCATCTGGATCTGGTGAGTCTTTCTCCGGGTCCCTACCCGACTCAGACCAGTATCCGGGCCTCGGCCAGCCTAGGCAAAGCTTCCCGCCCAGACCTCGCCGGCGTCCCCAGCAAAGCCCAGCCCCCACAGGGACACACGCGCTGCGCGCGCAGGTCCACACTGCACCCCGCTCTCCTCCGGGGACGCCACCTCGGTCGTACCTCCTACCCCCGTCCGGGCGCGCCCCGCCTCCCTGGCTCCGTCCGCCTCGCGTCCCTCCCCTCCTCCCCGCCTGCGTCGGCCCCGCCCCCGGGTCCGGCCCCGCCCCCGGGTCCCGCCCCTCCCGCTCGCGCCCCCAGGGCTGAGCGCTCTCCCGCCGGCCCGCCACGCCCCGCCCCGCGCCGGGTGTCCGCCGTTGCCACCGCCGGGGCAGGGGAGCGCTTCCCCAACTTGGAAAGCGGGGCCGCAGCGCCCGCCGCAGGCGGGGCAGCCATGGAGGCAGCGGCGCGGAGGCGGCAGCATCCGGGAGCGGCGGGCGGCGCGGGCGCGCAGCCGGGCGCGCCCTTCCTGCAGGCCAGGTGGGCGCGTGCTGGTGCGGGTAGCCGGGACCCGGGGGCGGGGTCCCCGCTGGAGGAGCCCGGGGCGGCCCGGGGGCTGCCCTTGCTGCGCCCTGGCGCCTGGGCCCCGTCTCCACTTCCCTTTCTCTTCCTGGGGGTGCCCTGGGCCCGGGCCGGCTGGAGGACAGTCGCTGCTCTGGGGAGACCTCTCCAGGGGTCCAAGAGACTCGAGGTGGGGGGCGGCGGGCCACAAGACACCTCCGCTCACCTTGCCCCCAGCTCAGCTGCCCGCCCCGGGCTCCATTTCCAAGTTCTCGGGGTCCCTAGAAGCTGAATAGGACTTGGATTCTGGTATTAATCGGGAAGCTCACTCCTTATCCCAAGACTGTGAGAATGGAAATGCCAGGGACGGGGAAGTGTGGAAGCTTTCCTCCATGAGGGAGGGCTTTTCTCACTCTTGTGCTGCTCCCTTCTCTCTCCAAAGGGAAGAAGTTCTTGGTTTATGTAGTTGAGAGCAGGAGTGGCCGAGGAAGAGGCACGGAAACCACCATTTAGTGTTTCCCTCCATTCTGCCTTCACCCTGTCGTATAGGCCAGAAACATTCCCTGCGGTGAGCAGGCCTTTATTAAGCGCCTCTGCTGTGCCCAGTGCTGTGGCAGGCACTGGAGGGGTGGGTAGGGTGAAGCCGGGAGGGGCTCACAGTGCGGAAGGGGCTGAGAGGTCATCGCGGAGAGCAGCGTGGAGGAAGTGGCACTTGAGCCGGGTCTCAAGAGTACTCAGTAGGTGACTCAGGGACGAAAAGTTCTTCCAGCCAGGGGGAAAGCTTGAGGAAAGTCAGGTGGGCAGGGGTGCTGGAGCTTTCTGGTGTAGAGTGGCAAGAGATGTGGACTGATTGGGAAGGGCCTTTCCTGGCAGCTGGGCTGGGGTGAAAGCCTAGACTTCCCAATTTAAGGAAATTTAAGGCGATGTTCACTCTGTGGCAACTCTGTGCCTACTTAAATGTTGGGCCCTGTGTGCCTCACTTGCCTCACCCTAGTTCCTGCCCTAAATGGCAGGTTAAGAATGCAGCCTTTATTCTGTAAGCACAGGGGAGCCATGGAAAGTTTTTGAGCACTAGTATGCTCAGAGTCAATTTTAGGAAGTTTGTGGTATGATTAGGGATGAGGGAAGAAATCTGAGGGACTTGGCTGAGGGCAGCCCTTTCTCCTGCTACTGAGGGACACCTCTGTTCTGGATCTCCTTCCACGTTGGGGGTCTTTGACTGCCCTGAACTGTGGAAGTCCAATCAGAACAATGTGTGGGTATCAGATATGATCACCACTTTGTCTTATGTGCGGGGCTTCCATATGCAGTATCTTTCTCAGTGGCAAGACCCAGGGTCTACACCTAAGGCTTCTGCTCCTACTATTCCACTTTGGCTGCTGAGGGGTAATGTTCCTCTTCATTCCTGATGAGCTCACTACCAGCAGGGTGTTCCCTGAGGATGGCATGAGGGCTGACTCACTTCCAGGGTATCTCTGCCACCATCTTTGGGTACCTCTAGGACCATTTTCAGTATCATTGTTGTTTAAGACAGTAGGTACCATCATCCTGTCCAATTCCTAAGATGCTTGGCTTTCCTCTGCTGCATCCATGCTTTGCTTGCATACCTCTAATGACACGGTGCTCACTACCTTTCAAGGTAGCCCATTCCAGCTTCCACCTGTTCTGTTGACAATTTTTGTATTGCAATCAACATAATAATGCCTATCATTAAATAGCACTGGAGGACTTAGAGTAAAAAATCAATGGTTCTGTGTTCCACCTTTCCTTTGCACCAGAGACAACCTTCTTTTAGCTCTTTGTACTAGAATTAAATTCATATTTTTAAATGATATTAACAAATACTATGTAACACTTTCCACAGACCAGGTCCTGCTCTAAAGTTTTGCACATAATAATTCCACCACAACTCTCAAGATAGGATCTACTATTTTTTACAGGTGAGAACATTGAGGCCCAAGAGAGATTAAGTAACTTGCTCAAAATCTGTTTAATGGCAAAGCTGGGATATGAACCTAGGTGTTCTCTAAAGTCTATATTCTTTTTTTGTTTAATGTTCTATTTATTTTTGAGAGAGAGAGAGAGTGTGTGTGTGTAAGTGGGTGGGGGGGGGGGTGGTGCAGAGAGAGAAGACAAGCACTGAATTCCGAAGCAGGCTCCAGGCTCTGCATTGTCAGCACAGAGACCGATGCAGGGCTCCAACTCATGAACTGTGAGATCATTATCTGAGCTGAAGTCGGATGCTTAACCGACTGAGCCACCCAGTCTAAAGTCTATATTCTTTTTTTTTTTAATTTTTTTTTAACGTTTATTTCTTTTTGAGACAGAGAGAGACAGAGCATGAACAGGGGAGGGGCAGAGAGGGAGCACAGAATCAGAAGCAGGCTCTGAGTCCCATCAGCCCAAACCCGGCAGGAAACTTGAACTCAACCGTGAATGTGACCGAAGCTCTGAAAGTTGAAGGACACTTAACCGACTGAGCCACCCAGGCGCCCCTAAAGTCTGTATTCTTAAAAGCTATGCTCAACTGCCATTTCTTGGTTTATCAATTGTAGCTTCTAAGATAATGTTTCCCGATTTCCTGTTATGATTTGGCTCACTTACACCTCCCCCATATTCACAAGATGGTTCTTTTTATCTATTCTTAGTTTTTAAACTATTTTTAGTTTTTCTCTTTGTTACCCTTGTTAGCTTCAGGGAACATGCATACACCATTATTTCTTTTTGGGCAACTGTAGGCAGTATCTCTTGCTTCCTTTTTCAAAGGTGAATATTAGTCCTCTACCCTAATGTTTAGCTTTTCTTACCCTTTCCCCAGCTCCTTTCCTCTAAGATTTACTTTCATGTTCTCGAGGTTAATGGTATTTACCTGCTGTTTTTCAGCCATAATTGTGTTCATGTTTTGTGTGTGGATGGATTCTAAATTCTGAAAAAATCAGTATACGATATTTTTATTAGTTAAGCCATGTGAACATTATTCCCTACAAAGCCAAGGAATATTTAACAGTACCATATGCTTTCTTATATTGCTTTGTTTTTCCTGGGGTTTCTAATTGCCTTTCTTTTTTCCCCTCTTATACTTGCCTTCATTTTCTCATTTTTCATTTGAACTTTCCATCATGTCAGGTACTTTACCATTCTTTATGGTAAAGCAGTCCCTCTATAGTTCCCATTTATGGGTCCCTGGCTGAGTCCTTCCTTTTCTGCCAGGGAGTCCTACAGATGCTGACTGCTTTTAATATTTCAACTGTATATGATGTGTTTCCCAACTGTCATGGTATCAGTTCCCCCATATGGTAGACTTATAAAGCTGTGGAGGAGAGAAAAGGCCATCCTCGTCTTGGGTTACCTGCCATTGTGCTTTTACTAGTGTTCTCAGCAGCAGCTTCTGATGACTGAGATGTAGAGCTGGCACAGGCCAGGGGCTCAGTTTGTGAAGTCTGTGGAGTCAGGAACTTGGGACAGGCCTGAGGTTGCTCATCCCCAGGACAAGGACTGGGGAAGAGGATGGCCTTCATTCTCCATGATCTTCCTCCTGTGGTCAGAGTCCCAACAGAAAAAAACCATCAGATGCTGACCAATCTTGATTCCCAAGTTGAGTGCCCTATGTCCGCTCTTTTTTTTCCTGCCCCACTAAGCCAGCTGGACTAATGACAGGGATTCCCATTAACTGGGGTGCCCCCTTAGGTAGAGGAGGAAATAATTACTGAGCCCCTAGTATCTGTTAGGTATCCACAGCTTACAGAGACCCATACCCAAGTGCTTCCCCAGGCTTTCAAAATACCTTTCTTCTCTGTACCAAACATCTTACTCTGCCCAGTTTGGAAGTTTCCAGAATAAAACACTGAGGGCTGTTATCCTCTTTCTTCCAGCAAGTTCTTCAGACCTGGAGTTTCCCATCATCTGCTTTTTCAGGCCTTGACTGATAGTCACTAAGGGGAAGGGCAGGTGGGGACCTCTAAGCCAGTCTCTCATCTCAGACCCATCTCAGATGAATCCTCACAGTTTCTGAGTATCTGCTCAGTCTAAAGCCCCTCCAGTCCCTCCCTTCTCTTCCTCTTCACCAATAAGCCAGGCATTCAACTCCATGCAGTGCCTTTCTCACTTCCACCTCCAGGCCTTTGATCTCGCCCTCCTATTGCTTTTCTGCCTACTTAAATCCACCCATCCATGCTTCCTGGCTCTCTTCCTTCATGCCAGCTTTGCATACTGCTCCAGGCCTTACTGAGCCTTCTCTGTCTTGACCTCCTCATATGTCACATAGTTTATTATAATAGAAACAGGATAGCAAACTATTTAGAGCACAGATCTTGAATTCATATAGACACAGATTTGAATTTATGCTGTTCAGGACTCATGGGTTACAAGGGACATAAAGCCAGGGTGAATGGCAGCACCCTTAGCAAAAAGGAATGTATTGGCTCATGTGGCCAAACCTTTAGCTTGGGGTTGCCTAGAACTCTCAGGGCTTTTCCTCTTCTTTTTCCCCTGGTCCTCTCTGCAGGGTTGCTTCATTCTCACCTGGCTGTTCTTTAAGGCTCGCCCCTTAGTCACACATAGCCCTGGATTTGCATCCTTAGCATCCCAGTGCCAGAAAGGGAGGGACTCTTTCCACCAGCTCTAATTAGAAACATCCCACCGGGCTGGCTTAGGTCACTGGCCCTCCCTGTGACTAAGGAAACCTCATGTCTTACTAGAAGCAGCTTGGAGTGGGAAATAGGCCGACAAAAGGAATAGTTGCTGTAGCTCCATACCACACAGGTGATCTTCGGTAAGCACTTAAGCCCTGTAACACACGAGGGGAACAACCTCCTGGTATTGCTGTGAGGATTCAGTGAGATGGTGTAGGTGAAGCTCCTAACACAGCACACACTCAGCACTCAATAAGTGGTGGGGCACTCAGTAGAAGAGAGGGGAAGGCTTAGTTGACCCAAGAAAGGCCCACCCCACCTCTTACCTGACACCAGAGGATGATGAGATCTCCCAGAGCTTGGCCCTCTGCCTCTGGGTTACTCTACCAGCCCACTGTGGACCATTGTTAGAATTGCCCGAAAGGGATCTCAGAAAGTTATGGACGCCATAGTAGCACTGAGAAGAGGAAAAAACCTTCACGATGCCTCTAAGCTAATGTTTGCCAGTAAAAACAATGAGTAACTGGTAATCAAGATTGTTTAAAATCAACCAGTGATCACTAAGCATCAACCAGGAACTGAGCCAAGAACGCTGGGTAACATGGACCATTCACACAGCTTCTGTTCTCAGCACAAATAGAGCAATAAAACTCACACTTCACTCATCGAAGAAGCAGGCTGTTTGTCACTGGAGGTGTGCAAGTAGTCTCAGGGAGGATTTGGACGCTGATAGGGTGGTGGGTGAGTTGAAGAGAATCTTAAAAGCCATCCGTCTTCTTAAGGGTGTACATAAGAACAAAGCTCCAGACCCATGAGGTCATGGCTAGACAGGGAGTTAGTGATGAAGCACTCCCTGTACTGGAGTTGGTGGGGCTTTGGGAAAAGACTTATTAAGGAAGCCTTCCTGGAGGAAGTGGCATAGGCACTGGCCCTTGAACTTCAGCTCATCTGTGAAAAACAGATGGCTAACGACTTGGCAGGAGGGACGGGCATCGAAAGATATGTTGTCAGATGGTGTTCCACTTCTTGCCATGTCTCTTGCATCAGCTTGTCTCCACTGGCTGCTCTTGCTGTGGATTAGTGAGACGGGGTACACCAGCAGCCCTAGCCTCACCTCCTCCAGGTTCAAGTAGGAGGGAAAGAGACTGTTGATCTGAATCTATGGTCTAGGAGGCTGATCTCCCTGAAGGGCTGTGATTGGTCCAGCTCAGGTCACATGCCCATCTGGTGGCCCAATCATTGTGAACATGATGATGGCATAGAGGTTAAAAATACAAGCTCTGGAGCCTAGTCATTTAGGCTCCAATATTTGGCTGTGTAACTTTGGGCAAGTTACTTAACATCTTACACCTCAGTTTTTCCACTTGTAAAATGGGGGTAATATTCCAACCTCAAAGGGTTTCTGTGAGGAGTAAAAGCGTTGAATGAGATCATGCATGCAAACAGCCATGATGTGCCTGGAATATAGTAAGTGTTCAGTAAAGGTTTGCTATTGTCATCCATCATCATGATTCACATTTTCCAGCTACATTTGCATCTTTGCCCCATTAGATGTCCCCATCATGCTATAGGTGAGAATGCCCAATGGTTATTATACCTGTTTGGCAGTTTCCTTACTGAATCACAGAGAAGCTAAGCTTCCAGGACAGCTGGAATCCATTCCCAGGACATGTGCCCCTTGGCCTCGGAGCCAGTATTTCCAGCAAAACTCATTTTCTAGAAATTAATCCTCTTGCCCTCAAATCCCCATACCTTTCTGTGGCTCATCTCAGGGGGAAGATTCCCATGGGAGGAGAGAAGAGCTGACCCCTCTTGTCTGGTTCCTTCCCAGGCACAGCTCCGTCAAGGCTGATGAAGCTGCCGGCACAGCTCCCTTCCACTTTGACCTCTGGTTCTACTTCACCCTGCAGAACTGGGTTCTAGACTTTGGCCGCCCCATTGCCATGGTGAGTGCAAAGCTATGGACAGAGCCCCTACCAGCAGCGAGAACACAGTGTGACATGAATTAGCTGAGTGACCTTAGACAAGGCACTTCCCCTACCAGTAAACTGCAAGAATACTCCTGGATGCTTTCATGTGCTTTAGCTCATGACTGTGCCAACAAGTGGGGATCTGGGGCCTGAATAGTCATATTGTCCCCTGACTCTCATAGGGGAACTGGTGGCCCTAAACAGTGATACCGTGCCTCTCTTCCATCCCACCATCCTATACCCAGGTTTAACCAAATCACCAAGCCATACAACAGGGTATGGGAAAGAAAACAGAGCATCCCCACAGCCTTGGTATATTATTTTTCTGGAGATAAAGAGTATAGGTTGATTTTGCATGGCTCTGAGCCTCGGGTAATTTTTAGTGCTATCTTGTGAAACCATCCCCTTCCCTCCAAGGCTAGTTCATGCATCAGTGTACAAGGGTGGTCTGTACAGAGATCAATACTGGAAGAGTATTGAAACTCCTGGCTTGTCATAAGTAGGTAGGTAGATAGATAGATAACAGAATGTGAAAAATTGAGTGATGTACCACCTTGCATCAAATTGTTCATTTTTGCGTGTGGGTGGTAACAATAATAACATCCGATGCTAAAACTGACACCTTGCACATGCTAGTGATAATGAAATTAGCAAAGCCCTTTTGAGTTTTTATTTATTTATTTTTTTAGTAATATCTACACCTACCATGGGGCTCGAACCCACAACCGGGGGATCAAGAGTCACACGCTCCTCCAACTGAGTCAGCCAGGCGCCCCATAGCAAAGCCCTTTTGGAAAGCAGTTTGTCAAGATGATAACTGGGCACCTAAAGAATAGTGCCTAGTTGGGGTGCCTGGGTGGCTCAGTCGGTTAAGCGTCCGACTTCGGCTCAGGTCACGATCTCACGGTCCGTGAGTTCGAGCCATGCGTCGGGCTCTGTGCTGACAGCTCAGAGCCTGGAGCCTGCTTCGGATTCTGTGTCTCCCTGTCTCTCTCTGTTCCTTCCCTGTTCATGCTCTGTCTCTCTCTGTCTCAAAAACAAATACACATTTGAAGGAAAGGAAGGAAGGAAGGAAGGAAGGAAGGAAGGAAGGAAAAAAGGAAGGAAGGAAGGAAGAGAGAGTGCCTAGCATATGCACTTTTATTGAATTAATAATAATAACAACATTAAGGTAGAAATAATGGTTAACATACATTGAGTGCTTACTCTGTTCTAAACCTGTTAAGTGTTTAAACTCATTTGATCCTCACCTCAACACTCTTATTAATCTTGATTTCATAGATGGGAAGACTCAAGGGTAGAGAGGGCCACCCACGTAGCAAGTAGAAGAGCCAGCATCTGCATGCTGGCACTCTGGCCCCAGAGCCTACCCCCTTCCTGTCTTGTGTATATCCAGGACCCTAATGTGTCCTTCCCTCCTGACCCAGTAAGACCCCTTCCAAGAATCTGCCCTGAAGACATAATCAGCAGGAAGACAAGAGCCTCTATACCCAATGGTGTTCCCTGTAGTGTTGCTTACCTTGAACGTGACTTCAGTGTCCAGCATAGGGACTGGGTAAATCAACTTTTTGTATCCAGTACAGAGAACATTATCTGGCCTTTAAACAGGAATCATAGATACTATAGAGCAACCTGGGACGTTGAATGAGCATAAAGGTATAGAAGTGATAGGCATCCTGCCTGACTGCAAGTCAGTGACAGTCTTAACATCTTGTACACATGGGATCAGAGGCTTGAAGGGGATTAAGAAAAGCTGTTCTGGCAGCACTGTTGGAGCGGATTTATGGTGGATGCTGTTTCTCCTTTGGGCAGACTCTCCATAGGGAGTACATGTTGTTTTGAAGTGTGGGAGAAAGAAAAGAGACTGAGTCGGGGTTCGCGATCAGGTTTGTAGGTGACCTTAGGCAAGTCAGTGTCTACTGGGCTTTGGTTCTCTCATTCATAAGAATGCTGGTTGGCCTGGCTGCTCTGATCCCCCTTCTGGAAAGAAATCCCCATATATTGGGGACCAAAGGAACTGCCGTGGGGGAGGGGGAAATGAGGCCAGGAGCAGGCTCATGGCTCCCTCACTCATTAGGACTCAGCCACAACAGGCCGTGGGGGTCTCCTGCAGGGCAAATCACTTCCCCAGCCTGCCCAGCAACCTAAGTGGGCTTGTTAGGAGAGTAGACATTTGAAAAGCTCGTACATACACTGGAGCTTCTGAAATGTAGGCATAGCAGTCCCAAATTTGTAATCGCGAAAAACAAAGTCTTAACAAGTTATAAAAGTAGTACGTAACAAGTCAACTAATACCCAGGCATATGAAGAAGTGTTGGAGTCTCCCTTTCCAGTCCCACCCCTGGAGGTTTGAGACACAGCAACCCCACTCCTTTCTCTGCTCATGCAAACGTATATACACTCTTTTCCCCTTTCTAACCCAAATGGGATTTTCCTTTACACCTTATTCTACAGCTTGCTTGCTTTACTTTAGAATATATCATGGCTGTCTTTCCATGTCAGTATGTATAAGGTATCATTTCTGTTAGTGGCTCCTTCACCATGGTATATATCTTTTCTTAAGAAACCGAAGTATAGGGGTGCCTGAGTAACCCAGTTGGTTAAGCGTCTGACTTCTGCTCAGGTCAGGTCATGATCTCGCGGTTCGCGAGTTCAAGCCCCACATTGGGCTCTTCACTCTTAGCGCAGAGCCGGCTTCGATTCCTCTGTCTCCTCTCTCTCTCTCTCTGCCCCTCCCCCCTTCTCTCTCTCAAATATAAAATATTAAAAAAAAAGAAACTGAAGTACAGTTGACATACAAGTTTACGTTAGTGTCAAGTGCATGACATAGTGATTCGACAATTCTATATGTTATGCCGTGCTCACCACACTGAGTGTAGTCACCATACCACATTATTACAATATCAGTGACTATATTCCTTTGGCTGTACTTTTCATCCCCATGACTTATTCATTTTATAACTGGAAGTTTGTGCCTCCTAATCCCCTCCACCTATTTTGCTCATCCCCCGACATCCACCCCTCTGGCAGTCACCCATTTGTTCTCTGTATTTATGATCCGTTTTCTGTTTGTTGGTTGGTTGGTTTTTTATATTCCACATATAAGTGAAAGCACATGGCATTTATCTTTCTCTGACTTATTTCACTTAGCATAGTACCCTCTAGGTCCATCCATGTTGCAAATGGGAAGATTCTTTTTATGGCTGAGTAATGTGTTGGTGGTGAAAACCTAACCCTCCTACAGTGTTGGTGGGAATGCAAATTGGTGCAGCCACTGTGGAAAACAGTATGGAGGTCCCTCAGAAAATTAAAAATAGAAATACCAAATGACCCAGTAATCCCATTACTGGGTATTTACCCAAAGAAAACGAAAACACCAGTTCAAAAAGATACATGCACCCCTGTGTGCATGGCAGCATTATTTCCAATAGCCAAATTATGGAAGCAGCCCAAGTGTCCATCAGTAAATGAATAAAGAAATAAGTGGATAAGGAAGATGGGGTACATATATCCAACATCTATATCTTGATATAGATTAAGATCTAGAGACACACACTGAATAAGAGAGAAAGAGAGGAAAAGAGAGACCTGTATCCTGGGGGTTTTTTATATGTGCAGGTTAGTTTTCACCAACATGGCATTTCTGAATTAAAAGAGATAAAAGTTTAAATTTTTGACTGAAATGTGTGGTCATTGCCTGTATTCTCAATCAACAGACACTGGAAGTACAGTTTGGGGGGTCGTCACATGTTTTGACCTCACCCAGGGATTTTCACATGGACCCTGACAAGGCCAGTAGGACAGAGGGCATGGCAGGCCGAGAAACTGGTCCTGGCCTGCCTCCTGTCTCAGGAAACAGAGGGAAGAAAGAACTGAAGTTTCTTTTTCGTGGTAGAACTCACATATTTTCTCCTTTGTTTCCTAATTATACTTCTGACCCAATCTGGAAGCAGTGTCTGCAGTCCATCTGCTCAGGGCCCGGAACATGGGGCCTAGTGGTCAGGAGATCTTTTCATCAGCATAGCACCTAGAGTGCCAGACCCCTAAGGGCCCAAGTGGACTACCTGGGTCACGTCTCTCGTGTTGCAGGTGGGGAAACCAAGGCCCAGAGAGCAGAAGGACTTGCCTGGGGTCACCCAGAAAGTGTGTGGCACCACTAAGTCCCAGGGTAGCCTCCAACTCCCAGACCAGCCCCCAGGGACATTTATTTAGTACCCACCGGGAGAGGGGCCCAGAGTCAGGCCCTGGATTTGCATCTGCTTGTGCATCCAGGAACAAATCCATTTACCTTCTCTGGGAGTCAGTTTCTCTGTCTGGGTCCCCCAGGGCTGCCAAGAGGATCCCCAGAGATCACAGAAAGAGTTAGATGTGTGTGGAGGAGGTGAGGGTTGACTCCCTGAGGGCTCATGGGAGTCTGCCTGGGTGAACACCATCCCTCCCCTTGCTCCCCAGCTGGTGTTCCCTCTCGAATGGTTTCCGCTCAACAAGCCCAGCGTGGGGGACTACTTCCACATGGCCTACAACATCATCACGCCCTTCCTTCTGCTCAAGGTACAGTCCTCGGTTCCCTGCCCTCCCTTCCCACCCTCATTTCTTCCTCCCCTAGCAGGAAGCTGGTACCATGCCCTAGGAGTCATGGAAGCGGGAGGAAGCAGGCCTACCCTGCCTGAGTCGGGGGGATGAAGGCTGGGATGGAGGGATGGAGAAGGCCTCCCCCAGGAGGGGTGTTGGATTTGGGCTTCCGTCTTGTGCGTCAGGGGATGACGTGGGAGCAGTGGTCAGGCAAAAGGACCTGAAGACAGGGCCATGCTTGGGAAACCAAATACATTTGGGGAGACTGAGGCAGAAGGAGTGACTGAGGTGGTTGCCTGGGGAGAAGTCAAGGACAGTTGAGCAGGCAGGTAGGGTCCAGGTGGCAGGAACGGCCGCAGTGAAGGTGACCTATACTCTAGCCTGGAGATCCCTGACTTTGAGAAGTCACTGGGAGCACAGAGCTAGCTTTGCACATCCAAATAAGGGGTCTTAAAATAATTATTGCTGTCTACTGTGCCCATCATTGTGTTTCTAGAAAGACATTTCTAATCTCCAAAAGTATGAAGGGTATAATCTCAGAATTCAGAGGAGTCTAAAAGGTAAATAATTTAGTTTCAAAGTATCCCCCCCCCAAAAAAAAAACCCTGATATTTTCTTTGTGTTTACCATGGACCAGTGGCTCAGAAATCAGTCATGCCACTGAACCAGCCCAGCCACCCAGGGGCACACCTGGGACCTGGCAGAGGGCCAGTTCTGGGGCCTGGATGCCTGTGTTGAAAGCCTAGCTGTTGCCTCTAGCACACGGTTGCTGTGTGACCTTGGGCACTGAGCTAGCCCCTCTGAGTCTGTTTCCTCTCTGGGAGAAGGGGGTGTTGTTTCCCAGGTCATGCTGGGTCCACAGGGATCATATGAGACTCTGGAGGCCTGGTTGGCCTGCTAAAGTCAATTTCTGAGTGACTCTTCAACCGGCGGCATCTATCCCGCCCCAGGCGTGAGGGAGGGACTAGAGGGGCGTTTCCTATTGTGATAGAGGCTGAATCAGGCCTCCGTCTGACTTCAGCTCATTGAGCGGTCCCCCCGCACCCTGCCACGCTCCATGATCTACGTCAGCATCATCACCTTCGTCATGGGTGCCAGCATCCACCTGGTGGGCGACTCCGTGAACCACCGCTTGCTCTTCAGTGGCTACCAGCACCACCTGTCTGTCCGTGAGAATCCCATCATCAAGAACCTCAAGCCGGAGACACTGGTGAGGCCGCCTCCCCCAGTACTCGTAAAGCCCTGTGGGCACAGTCTGTCCTGGAGGCCAAAGAGATCGCCCCACCCATCACTGTGCCTGGCCTGCTAAAGGCATTCTGCTGGGTGAGGGCGCTGGACCCACCAAGCTAGGATGCTGGTGACACTTCAGGAAGTGGCACATTGACTGGCTCCCACCTGGGCCCCCTGGAGTAGAGGGCTGCTGGGGGGAGGCCTGAGGAAGGGTGGGCTGCATGGGCCCAGCACCTTTCCTGAAGCACCTGCCGTGCCCTGCCGCCCTCAGATCGACTCCTTTGAGCTGCTCTACTACTACGACGAGTACCTGGGCCACTCCATGTGGTAAGTGATGGGGCTGTCTCAGCCAGGAGGGCAGCAACAGCCCCACTGTCTCCCCAGGGACCCTGGGCCCAGCCCCCTCCCCCCCCGCCCTGCTCTGC